ACTCCCAAATTTGTATATGGTAACAGGATCTGCCCCAAATGACAGCAACGAAAAGTTTCCTTCTCTTTTTTGCAACCCAACTTTCCCTATGAAAGGTGATGAAGTTGAACGTACTATAATATTATTAGCCTTCCATGAAAGCTTTCTTCCAATTGCGGAAAAAGAACGATTCTTCAAACAGAGGGAAAGCGAATTCCTCTGGTTGGAATTGAAGTTGAAAATTTGTTTGGACAAACAATCAATATTAACCATATTTTTCATGGTTTCACATTTTTTCAATCACACATTTCAAAATTTTTTATCACAATTCACTGAAAATCTAATTTTAATCGCCACCAAACACCATCTAAAATTGATGACATTTTCGAGGTGATTATTTTGTGTGTTTGAGTTTTGAAGTTCTCCCGCTAGTAAAAGGTCCATCGTTGTAACCCAAAGTTGTACAAGGAGAATTATTCGGCAAGAAAAGTGGTGGAGGGGATAAGATAATTTTTTATTTTTTTTTTAATTGATAAATTATTGATCAAATTGGATCACAGATTTGTAGTCACGTCCTCTGGTTTCTCTTTAGAATAATTCTTAGTGTACATGCTCCTAAGTACCAAATTTTATGTACATGTAGCATGTCCTTTCTCTTTATTTGTAGGTATATTCTGTTCGAGCTCATACATAGTCATATTCAACTTGACCTAGGTCTAGGCTCGATTAGTGATCTATTATGCCGAGTGTCATGCAAGTCATATTCTATCTCATATTTTTGGACATATCATGCTGAAAAATACGACTACGCGTGACTTGATTTAAATAAAAAACTTATTAACACCAATTATATAGGAATGAAAATCTTTTTAATATACCCCAAACTTGCTTATTATTCAACAAAGTTCCATCGAGCAACAATTTCTTCAATCCTCAAGATTTTCGATAGCAAACAATATGAAATCTTTGTACTCATTTTCATTTAGAAGAAACCATAATGTAAACAAGTGTCTAGTAACATAATAAATTGGAAAAATCTTGCCATCTTTACATTATTTACTTATATACCAAAATGTGTGGGGCTTGATCTGAGTCGACTCGAGCAATTCGGAGGTCTTTGGCAAATTTTTTAAGAGGCCTTGTGAATTTTATGAATATTAATTTTTCATTGTGTACTCATCTCTATAATAATAGTGTATTGTTTCACTAAAAATGAAAATAACAATAAAAGTTGGAATATATAAATTGCAAACTCTAAAAACACCAAAATCCTTCAACTAAAATACAATATATAAGGCATAAAAAAATATCACTCGAAATAAGTTAAAGTACCCATCACCCTCAAAAAATAAAATTAAATTAGATTAAACAACAGTGAAAACAATACTTAACTAAACATTACTTTTATTGATTGGCTTAATATCACAAAATGTCCCGACGTTTGGCATGTAGTGTGCAAAACGTCCATACGTTTCATTTTTTTGCATTTTCGCTATTATTTTAAAGTTTCATTGCGAAAAACGTCATTCGATAGCAAACAATATGAAATCTTTTTACTCATTTTCATTTAGAAGAAACCAAAATGTAAACAAGTATCTAGTAACATAATAAATTGGAAAAATCTTGCCATATTTACATTATTTACTTATATACCAAAATGTGTGAGGCTTGATCTAAGTCGACTCGAGCAATTCGGAGGTCTTAGGCAAATTTTTTAAGAGGCCTTGTGAATTTTATGAATATTAATTTTTCGTTGTGTACTCATCTCTATAATAATAGTGTATTGTTTCACTGAAAATGAAAATAACAATAAAAGTTGGAATATATAAATTGCAAACTCTAAAAACACCAAAATCCTTCAACTAAAATACAATATATAAGACATAAAAAAATATCACTCGAAATAAGTTAAAGTACCCATCACCCTCAAAATATAAAATAAAATAAAATTAAACAACAGTGAAAACAATACTTAACTAAACATTACTTTTATTAATCGGCTTAATAGCACAAAATGTCCCTACGTTTGGCATGTAGTGTGCAAAACGTCCATACTTTTTATTTTTTTGCATTTTCGCCTTTATTTCAAAGTTTCACTGCGGAAAACGTCATTTTCACTGTTTTTTAATGTAAAATTACTAATATACCATTCTATATAAATAAAACAAAAAAGAAAAGAAAAGAAAAATAAAGAATACATAGCAATCTGCTCCTAAACTCTCTCTTCTCCTCCACCACCTCCACCGTCTGATGACCACATCTACTANAAGTCTTAAACACAAAACGTCCCTACATTTGACACTTATTTCGTAAAACGTCTTTACGTTTCAAACTTTTTGTAGTTGGTTCAATAGCACAAAACGTCCTTACGTTTGACACTTATTGCGTAAAACGTCCTTATGTTTCATTTCTTTTACATTTTTGTCCTTATTTCAACGTTTCATTGAGAAAAATGTTATTTTCACTATTTTGCAATGTAAAATGACCAATATACTTTCATATTTAAATAAAACAAAAAAATGAAAAAAAAAAAATTCTCTTTCCCTCTTCTCTCCTCCCTCAACCTTCTCTTCCCTCGACCACCTAAACTACTAGACCCCACCACCATTCGTACAATCTCACCTCCCTCTACAATCTCCGGTCAATGTCTGGCCAAGAACCAGCTCTACCACCACCGTTAATGCTGGCCACAACCATCAGCCCCAACATTGTAAAGGGACGTGAGATGGTTTGAATTGTGGTGAGGACTGGTGGTTTAGGTGGTAAAGGGAGGATAAGGCTGAGGAATGAGGAGAATGCTGATGGTTTGAATTAGGGGTGAACGCAATTCGATTTGGGCGGTTTGTGCCATATTTTCAATTCAAACCATTTCATACGATTTGAAATTTTTTTCAAATCAAACTAAACCATTATATTTTTTGAACCAAATCAAACCAAATCATAATTTGCATGTTGATTTGGTTTTAATCCGCGGTTTACCTATCGACATTATAGTAATATATTTAAAATAAGTTAACATATAAGTTTAAATGAGAACTAATAATGTTAAATGTTAAATTACATTCATCTTTTCCACGAAACCCATGAATAAATTATTTTCAAAGTCGATCGCTAAAAGATGTTAATAGAACGAATATATTTTTCTTCATTTTTATTTACCTTTTCTTGTTTGTCTTCTTTCATAGTGTCATATAACGGTTGGTAAAGATAGAGTCACACTCTGCTATAATAGTTTGGTTAAAACTCCTTTCGTCCTACTAGTGAGATTAAAAAGTAAGAGTTGAACATGATATGTTTAAATATATAAAAAATGATAGAATTCAGGTTTATTGGAAATTGAAAAATTTTATTCTCTAACGACTTTAAGAAAGTAGAATGTAGTAGTACTAGTTAGGGAATTTTAACATTTTCAGGCGATTAATAGGCTCTAGATTTCGTGCTTTTTAAACCACAAACAAGTTCATTAATCACTTAGGCACACAAACAATCTTTTTTTTTAATCCAAATCACAACTCACAAGTGTATAATAAGTTCAAAAACAACAATTAAAAGAAAGAATAATGAAAAAATGATTTGAATGAGAATTTAAGACTTATCAAGATAGAAAAAAAAAGAGATAATTCAGGTAGAAATTAGCAGTCTAACAAGCAAAATGCGACTAGCGATTTGCGATTGAGAATCACATTTTGTTCAGCAGTAGTAGACAAGTATCAAATATTTGAGAAATGAAAGTTTAGGTTAGGGCTTCTGAAATTGTGGGCGTGATTTGCTTTCGTAGTTTTGTTAAATTATGATTTGGATTGTTGAAAATAAATGTTTTTTTTTCCATATGATTTATGATTAATTTTAGTTTAGATTAGATAACGGGTAAGGACGTGTGTTGTGGACTTATAAAACCATCGGCCAACAATGATGAACTTAATTTACTTTATATGATTATTTCAATGGGTTTGTTGTAATTTATATTGCTAAATTGGTATTTTTTTCTAAAAAAATGAAAACTTTAAAACTTGTAAGTTAATAAAATTAATTTTTTAATTCGTAATGCTAAGTTGGTATTTTTTCTAAAAAGTGAAAACTTTAAAACTTGTAAGTTAATAAAATTATTTTTTTAATTAAAAACGGTTCGGTTCGATTTTATGCGGTTTTTGAAAATTGAAACTTAAACCAAACCATTTAAAATGGTTTGGTTTGGTTTGGTTTGGGGGAAAATAAATCACGGGTCCACGTGGACTCGAACCAACGGTTTCAATTCGATTTGCGATTTCACGATTTTTTTGTGCAGCCCTAATTTGAATGTTTTAATAAGGTTTTTGAACTCATATGCTCTTTTTAAAAAGTTTGGGAGTATAAATACAATTTATTTTTTATAATTCTTTTCATTTTATTTGTTTTATTTAAATTTGAGGGTATAATGGTCTTTTTACACTGAAAAATAGTGAAAATGTATAAGGACAAAAATGCAAAAGAAATACAACGTAAGGACGTTTTACGCAATGAGTGTAAAACGTAGGGACGTTTTGTACTATTGAGCCAAGTACAAAAAGTTTGAAATGTAAGGATGTTTTCCGAAATAAGTGTCAAACGAATGGACGTTTTATGCTTAAGCCTTTTAATAAAGTTTTTGGACTCACTTGCACTTTTTAAAAGTTTGGGAGTTTAATTACAATTTATTTCTTTTATTTTTCTTTTATTTTTTGTTTTAATTATATAGAAGGATATATTGGTCATTTTACATTAAAAATAGTGAAAATGACGTTTTCTGCAGTGAAACGTTGAAATAAGGGCGAAAATGCAAAAAAATGAAACGTATGAACGTTTTGCACACTATGTGCCAAACTTAGAGACATTTTGTGCTATTAAGCCTTTATTGATTTAAAAAGGCCAAGTTAAAACAATCAAATGCTTCTCAACTAGCATTGAACATGTTTTCATTTCACAAACTTGATGTAAACTTTACGTTAAATTTTATTTTTTGTATTTCAAGGTTCAAGAAAAACATTATAATTAGAAGCATATAAACATGATCATAATTTAAAAAAGGGATAATTGTAACAAAAACTCTAAATATTTGAAATATTAGCAGACTTTTCCCAAATCTTTCAAATGTTGCAGCCGTCACCCCTAACATTTTCAACCATTGCATGTGAGGTCCTTTTGGATAGTTTCCATCCAAAATGTTGTTAATTGATCACCAAAATAAATTTTGACCATTTTTCTAATAAAATAAGGGAAGGTAAAATCTTCTATACATTATATACATTCTTAAAAAAAATAAAAGAAAACAAAACGTCATCTTCTTCAACCAATCCCTCTCCCTCCCCAAACCAAAACCAAAAATCTCAATCATCGCAATCGTTGACGATCGTTGGTGCTATCCATATTTGGTGTCCACCGCAAAGCACCGATATAACTGCAATAATCACTGTAAATCGTTCAAAATATAGACATTAATGGATGGACATAACCACTGCAAAGCACCGATTCAAACACTGACCTTAAACTTTGTCTACCACAACAATTTTAAACTTTCGCCTTTGCTGCAAGAAATTGACAATGGCATTCGAGCCTTCTCAAAAAAAAATAGAGCTAGGCCAATCACAAATCTACTCTCTCTCTCTCTCTCTCTCTCTTTCTCAACCACAAACTCTTCTGCAATGGCTTCAATTTGTAAGGGCACCAAGAATAGCATAACCTAAGAACTCACACAAATCAACTTCCTCATCCCATGTCTTTGCTCCTAGAATTGCATAGCAGTTTTGAGAGCATCGACATATTTCTGAGTAACCGCACTGGGACTTTGGGAGGCCCCGAAACAGGAGCAAGCTTCAAAATCTAATTCTTTCTTGTACATTTTCTGCTTTATAGTTAATGCGATTGCAAATGCAATTGCTGCTAGTATTATCAACACAATAAACCAATCAAACCATCCTTATGACCCCGATTTCTCTCCCATTTTTCTTCAATAATAAAGAAATTTTCTCGCAATTGTAGAAATATGTGAAATAAGGGTATTAATTGTTGAATTTGAACATGCAAAACAAAATGACCAGCACTAAAAAATATGGGGTCAACTATAGGGTTTTGATCTTTGTTGAAAATTATTTGTTAGTAAAATGACGTTTAACTGTAATTAGAAGGCAATGTGGGAAAATTGGGAGAAATTGGATGTTTGAAGGGAGAAAATAGTTGGTTTAATGGAGTTTGACAAACCTGATCAGTGGGGTTCTTACAAGGTGGTCTTCTTCACTCGAGTAAAACAATTGTCTTCTTCACAGATTTTTCGACTGCCACTTGTACTGCACAGTCACTTTCTTTTGCAATTTTCGGCAGCTGAGGCGGAGGAGGAGAAGATGAAGATTGGGTGTGGGGCGAGATTTTTTTTTTTTTTTTTTTTAA